ATCAATGCCTTGGGCTGTTCATGGAAGCAGTTAATGTTCATGCGACGATGGTTGATGCAGGCAAGTGATCTGAATCAACCCCTTTTCTGCTGCAGCAAAGCCCATCCCTTTTATCGTGCTGCAACATACATTCGCCCGTTTTACCCACGGTTTTCTGGGTGTGGTAGATGGCACTAAGACTTGACGTGGGATTATCCTTAATTGAAATAAGTGTGGACGTGGTGACAGCTGGTAGACTAGCCTGCATCCTATTTATTTATTTTGATTGTGTATCGCGCGAAAGCTGTTGCCTCAACCCAGGGCGGACATGGCGACAAAGTTTGGAATCTATTGAGCGGGAAATGATGTATTCAGGCAGACTTTGTGTCACGAAAAGGGAGACTATTCTCAGCGCCTGTCAGTGGTATTTTTCTTTTCCATCTTTCACTGTAGAGTTTGTAGAGCCGAGATTGAGTAACAGTCCTCACTTCGACGAGGATTCCCAATCGCTTGCGCGGTCTGTATCGTCTTCATCTCTCTACTCATTCTCCTATCACCATTATCGTGCAGCTAACCACGATCAGATCAGATGGTAGGGTCGGAGCCCTACTCATCACCAACCCTTGATGATGGAGGAAAAGCCATCCGATGAGTTTCCGGAGCGTACCCAGCTCCCGATACGGGGATGACGGATTGGATCAAGTTGGCCTCAAATGTTACAAAGAAGGGATATATAGATGGATAAACGCACCTCGTGACACCGGTGTCTAGGCCTCGCCTGGCTGGGGCTGCGGGTTTTTTGAGACTTTTTCCCGCGCACGCAGTTTCCATCACAACCATTTTTATTTTTTTGGGGTAGACGGTTCCGTGGAAAAGGTGGCTGAATCCCACGGGTAAATACTGAGCTGAATGGCTATTCATCAAGGGCAATATATCAGTGATCTTTCAAGAATTATGAGAGACTAGGAGCACTGTGCAAGGTGCGGCCTGGGCCAGAGAGGAGCCCAATGTGCTAGTTAGTCATAGACTCAAGTAGTGCAATAAAAACACACATTGACGTGTACAACCCCCAATCGCTACTTGATCTTACTAGTACAGGAGAAGTAGGACAGTTGGTGGACAGCTGATGGAAAAAGCATCTGCCAAAGAGATACGAAGACCTTGATCTACGCACGAGACGAAAAAGGCCGCCAGAGCTCGCTCTAACAAGTTGGCCTTACCATGAAATTATAGCAGCCAGGATAGGCCACGGAGGCTTTGCCGACTATCACCGTCGCTTCGGTCACGAGAACGAGGAGCTCATTTGTGCACGTGTACGGGAAAAGCGGCCATGGCACTTTGCAGAATGTCGGCTCAGGCTACATGTGTGGAGGAACTCTGGGCAGATTGCGGCAGCAAGGGCAAGATGGATGTCGGGGGAGAAGGGCTGGGAACATTCCTGGCATAATCTGACATGAACCAAAGATTTTGGTCAGGCAAAGAAAGGAATGAGGAAAAGAAATACACGCTAGGATTGACTCTACTGCGACGCAGCATTATGATTATGTTGAGCGACCCAGGGAGAAGGATCACGGCGCAGGACACCATGACTCAAAATTTTTGAAAAGATTTTCCGCTTCTGCTTCTCCTAGCCGGTCAGGGCCGGTCATGTAGGTAGATTGGGAACCCAAGGGTTCCACTACTCGTAACACGCCCAATGGATGAAGGGATTTGCTGGCACGTAAAAGGTATCAAATCAACCCAATAGATCGGGAGCCTGCCATCGCAGCTTAAGGCTAATATTTATTCTCAGGGCTCTAGGCATCATGGACGTGTCCATGTCGACAGCAACTTGTGTCTCACCTATCGTCTCCGGTCGATTCTAAATGATATTTCCTTGCGAAACGTAGACAGGAGGAAGATCGATTCCAGCGTGTGGTTGTCATTGTCCATTGATGGCATCACGGGTGCCGCCTACAGACTAACGGACCCATGAGAGCGACTGAACAGCGAAATTCGGTAAAGACGAGATGACGTTTAATGAAACATTCCCGTCTCAAAGTTCACTGTCCATCATTCCACTCGATAATTCAATGCCCTATGAGGGGCTCTCGACTTCCTAGAGATTCTTAGACATTGCCAAAAAGATAGCGTCGACAACTTTCTTGCGAGTTTCAAATAATCCATCTCTGGTCAGTTTGCACCGGCCATGCGAATCTACCAGTGAGGTTAGGAGTGGAATGGAAATAGCCTCACTGGAGATTCGTATGAATTTTGGAAGGGATATAGACATCTCTTATACATCCATGCGATGCGTCTCATCGTTCGCGTTCTATCTCATGGCTTCCTTCCTACTGCATATTTAGATGACTTTCGATGTGCATTCACACTCCACGGACTCTAGACCCTCCTGAAAGAGCGTTATTTGGTAAACGGCTTCATGGTACCTGCTGTTTTGAAACAACCCAACGTCAACACTAACTAGCCCTCTAACCACCTAATCCCTGACCAGCGCTTGGAAAAGACAATTTGGTTTTTAGTCTAAACGACGCGTAATTTTTTCTATTCGTATGGGTATATGTCTCCTGTAGTGTCGTGAAAGGCAAAAATCTCAGTGAGAGAGCACTTTTGACGTCTCTCAATGGTTTGGGGCGCGGGGCGGCGTGGCTTTGGCCCATTTATTACATGTCGTGCTTGGTTAAAACGCCGGCATGCCGGGTAGTTTGTGTTGATTGCATCGTGAGCTGGCACCAAGTTAGAAGATTAAAATTAAAGAAACTGTAAGGCCGCGAGCGATTGTGTGTACGGTTGGCAGACGTATCCCGAGACGGCGCCAATAATTGTCATGCGATGTCTCAACTCGAGACTCATGAGCGTGAGTGGTTGTATCCATAGTCAGCGCGCAACGTCTGCATGAATCTCTGTCGCTGTACTAGTCATTATCCGGCATCATCTCAACACCTCATTCCCCGTCTCAATGGCGACGACCTAGGACGACTAGATAGGCTCTATGGAGAGTGGCTATCGTCGAGGGTATGCGTGTCGGAGTGAGATAAAGATGAGTTTGCGCTGTACTACGGCCGCCTCTCGTGGAAGGTGAACAAGGTGGCTGGTAGGGATGAGACGGAGAAGCGCGACAGCTCCAGTCATACACCGAGTCGTGCCTCGTGCACTCTACCTCTTCAGAATCTAGCTCGCCTACACATTTAATCCCATGACCGGCAGACGCAGGAGCAAATTCGTTTCCCAATCCAGCTCATCTTCACTCGAAGCGGTGGAAGGGCACGGGGAATCCCGGCTCGCCCTAGATGGTCTGCTTGTAACATGCGCACCATCCTCACCTGCTCAAAATACTAGGATAGAAAGGCCATTTCTAGGGATCCCGAGAGCCGTCTGGCTATCATCAACCTCCTCGAGGCGGCAAGGTGGGGTGAGTGAGTTCACAAGCTCACACAAACTATAATTATTCTCATCACTGCAAAATTCCACCCAATCGTGGGCAAATCCGTTATGCTACGGTGCCTTGCAATGGCTCCCCACCACGTCCTATATATCAAAGATTTTTCGAGTGACAAAAGAGGATGGGAGCACGGTTCAAGGAGTGACCCGGGTCACAAGGGAACCCAATGGGCTAGATAGTCTAGGACTCAAGTAGTACATTGACCACATATCGTGCCTCGCATCAACACGCGGCAATATCCAAACACCATATGCCACCCTCGCGAACTAGAGGCTACAGATAGCGCAGCTTGCCGTCGGAAAAATCTCCCGAGGCCAAGAGTCAGCCATCACGCGCACGAATTTGACATTGGGTGTCATGGTCACATTACTGTGCCAGGAGACGGCGCTACGCGCTACAAGTATGATGGTTCCGACGTCTACGCCATACTACCCACGGCACCATCTACACATGGAAAGCCTCAGTAACTCCTTGCGCCCGAATGGCCCGAAGCGCTACGTGACGGCGGCTCACAGGCCAACACCCCTCTCTACGACGTATCGAAATCTTAGACGGGATGGACTGAGGGGTCCGAAAAGGTGGTTTTCCCTTTGCACCTGCCATGTAGCGCATTCCTCGCACGAGATCGGTCGAGCGACGTGATGCAGTGTGAGAGTCGAGGGCGACGCGTGTGGAGGTGTCGGGGAAGGCGGGTAGTGCTCGAAGCAGTCGATGCTTCCGAGACTTGACATTTGGAAGTCTCGAGGCCACAGGCGTCTCGGCCACTGCTCCCCCTGATCCATTTGCGAGCACTAGTCGCTGGCATTTGACGTGTGCGCCGCTTACCTGAACACGGTGGGAGTGTCTCATCTCGCCGTGTCCCACACATTGTCCAGGCATCACTGGCGAGATGCAGACGCGACACCAGTAGATCTCATGTCTCTGGAACCGCCGTCGGCATGGGATTGCCCACGGAAACGGCGGGCTGGCTCTCGGCCAAGGCTTTGTTGGTGGTAGGAGAGTCAGGTGATGGTCGAGGGTGCGTCAACATTGCCCGCACCATCGGGTTTCGACGCAAGTCACGCATTTTCCGCAGTGTTTGAAGATTATTCATTGTGTGCGCGCATACTACGATATTCATTGCAGACAATTATGTACATGGGGTAATTGTTGTCCTCATCACATAGCCAAGCCTAGATTACGGCCTGGCGGCCGACTTACTCTTAGGTGTGGTCTATCTCCCGCTAGTCATAGACTCTCATAGTCTGCGACTTTACTTGTGCCACATAATCGCCGACCATCTTAAACCATGAGGCATCTTGTGTTGAGGGATTGTTCCAGAATGCTTGGCGTATACATGATAACGTCTAGGCGTGCCGCAGGGACAAGTGGCTAGCGGCTGTAGGAGAGGGAGATTCGAAGGAGTCTTGGCGTGCTTCGGTTGGATGACTCGTGGTGAGAGTGGGTGCATCGCCGGTGACGGGCCGCGGCCTCGAGCGTACTCGGACTGGTGACGGTTGGCGACATCCTTTCTTTGTTCATACTAGGTTGTGGATCATTTGGCATCAATTCTAGGCGAGCCAGCTCGTCATGGCACCGTTCTTCAGGTGCGCGGTTCGGGGTATGGCGGCAAGAACTTCTTGTCGCGTCCTCCAGTCGTCAAGGATCGAAACCTTTGCTTGAGTCCCTTGACAACACCGTGCCAGGCCTGCTGTAGTTCCCGCGATGATGAGGCGTGTCCAGCCGACCCAGAGTTTTCTACGGAGCTGAAGCTCACTTGACGTCGGCCCATGATGGGTGAGTTGGCTCGACTGGCTCGCGCTGCGGCGCTCAGATCCGTCACATTGGTGCAGAAAGACTCGACGGAAACGTTGTTGGTGATGGGTTTGAAGGACTTGGGCTGATCGGATTGACCCTTTTTCCGCTCATAGTCGTCCATTTCGGACAGCACGATGCGCAAGTAGGTGTCTGTGGTGAGAAACGGGTCTCCCGTGTTCTCGGAGCCTTCCTGAAAGCGAGAGCGACGACGGATCGCGACGGTGGAGGCGGAGGGCGAAGAAGGCGATGCGGACGGAGAGACGTGAGAGAGATTAGGATGCGACATGTTGGAGAGAGAGAGAGAGAGAGAGATTGTAGCGTGGTAATGGTGGTAATGGAGGCTCGTCGACAGAGATGCGGTGACTGTGCGACGGAATCAGGGTAGAAGCGAAGAGATTTGGATGGGAGGTTTCACTTTATGGGAAGCCAGTGTGAGGATAGAGAGGTAGAGTCGATGATGGTGGATTAGTGTTGAAGATTGTGGAGGTGGAGGTGGAGAATCCGCGGAAGCAGAGATGCCGGCGGGAGTGGAGCAGGTCGTGATGGTGGCAGACGAGACTTGGGATGGTGGGCCTGCACAGTGCAGGATAAGGATGGATAATGGCGGATATTGCTGGATATTACTGGATAATGCTGGATAAGGATGGATAAGGCGAGGAGAGGCGTGGACCGTGCAAAAGGGGTCAGATCATACGGCGATGGCGGTGCACGGCACTGGGCCTGATGTGACGATGGCGGGATGACGGGCGAGGTCCACAACGGTCGACGGCGTGCACATGCAGGCAGAGCCTTGGGCAGACGTGAGGGGGCCGAGCAACTAAGGAGACAAACTGCGGCGGGCACGCGCCGCCGAACTGGTGGATGAGGGTATTCATAAGGACTCGCGCGCGCCCGCCACCGCCGCCGCCGCCGCCCGACACTCACTTCCAGTCGGGCGGAAAGGCTGGCCTCGCCCAGTTTCATGAGCGCTGGCGGCCTGCGTCTCACCCGGCCCTGAGGGGTGACAGCTGCGGCCGGCGCAACGAGATGCCTGACCACGTATCCCTGCCCATCTCGCACACACGAGGCAGAGCCCCTGTCGGCTGGCCCTATCAGGGACGGTGCTCGCGCCCCGCCGCTGCTGCCAATCCGAGGTCATGTGACCGCCGGGGTCCACACTCTGTGCACGGAACGACTGGCTCGTGCCCTGATTGGCGGGCATCGGCTGTCAAGCTGCAGCCATGGAGCCGCCACGCCGAGCGAATTTGGGGCCGCCATGAGGAGCCGGCGATGGGAGGGGTGAGTGTGAGGCGATGGAAGAAGTGAAGTTACAGATCCGGACCGAGACGGCAGTTGGTCTGGTGCTGAATGCGCGCCAGACGCCAGCGGGCGGTGAAGGTGCCGACTGCGCAGACCCGAGGGATCGGGGCCAGATCGAGGTCGACGATGTGCGCGAGCAGCGTTGACCCGGCAACGACAAAGTCAGCACAGCGTCCATGGTATAGCCGTCTGCATCTAAGCGTCGCAGTCGAGGCTTCGTTGGCGAGCGCACTCAGAGGCCGCCCAGCATCTGACAGCTCGTCGGCCTCAAGGCCGGCGAGGGTGGGGCCACGCATATGGTCGCAGGTAGGGCGAGCTGGCGTGTCAGAGTTTTCTAGACCGGGAGACGTGACTTGCTCGTCGATGCTCTGCTTCAGACGGCGAGCCGCGCCCGCAGTTCCTTGCAGGCTGCCGCACGTCCCCAAGACGATACGCATGGCCCAGAGGAGCGAGTCTTCTACGCCCCTCACAGCCAGTGGTGTCGCGGCTCGACCAGGGCCCCTCTCTTGCGGCCTCCCGGATCAGGCGCTCCCTGCATCGTATCCAGGGCCGGGGCTCCGTCGATCCCACGTCGCTGGCCCAAGTGCGCCAGCACACCGGCGCCCACGGAAACGTCACATGAAGCGCCCAGCGCAATGGAACGTCGCCTCCATTCTGCCCGTCTGACCCGCCGCTCGTGACTCGCCCGCGGCGGGAGGCGAGTCTAGCCCACTGAAAAGTACAGCGACGCTGACCTGGTCTCTGTTCCCGACCTTCATGGCCGCCCATGCTGTCCTGACACTTGATCAGTGCCCATGTGTGAGAGAATTGACACTTCCTGCCATCAGAAACTTCGGCCGCCGCCGCTCATTCGCATATGCCTGCTTGCCCAGCCCAGTCAACCTTCGTGAGGCTCTCCCAGCTCGCTTCTGTCCTACAGCACGTGAGCTCAGCGCGAACCAGCCATGCCCAGGCTCCAGCCTAGACGCCATACCACTTCACTATCTAGACAGTCTATTTGATGGGGCCGAGTCACGCCCTCTCCAGTGATGCCGACAGCTCGGTCCTCGGCTGTCTCTCCTTACCCTACAACTCCTAGATCCGATCCCGCAACTCAGCCGATCGGATACAGAAGAGCCGACATCGTCCGTCCGTCGCGCTGGAACATGCGATGCTGTCGCTTCCGCAGACTGCCTCACCTCTCCTACCACACGACGCAATCCTGCACCGTAGACTATACCATCATACTTGCCATAATGTCCTCCACCGCGCCCCATTTATCCCCATTTGAAAGCCAGCGAGCCGCGCTGCTCCAGGATATCGGTCTCGTACGCCCTCTCCATCTCCCCCCTCACCACTTTGCCCTAACGCGTCGTCAGAGCTTTGAGCATGTCTTACTCAATATCAACAAACTCAATCGCTCGCTCGAAGCTGTCATAGCTGTGCGCCGCATTCCCCTTCCTACCAGTCTAGATCTCCGCTGACCAGCTGACCAGGTCGGCCATGAGTTCTCTTCTGTTGAGGCACTCTGGTCTACATTTGAAAATGTCATGGCTAAAAATCACGGAAATTCTGCCACCGATGCCTCAACTCGAAGCCGAGATGAAGGGCACAAGGAAGAGGGTGCGACAGAAAAACCCACCGATTAACCCAATTCACTCATGCTGTCGGCCTCAAAATGGATTAAGCATCCATGACAAAAGCGTGAAAGCAAATTGATCCACCATTAGTATTTGTTGATTGGTCATGATCTCATTGTTTTCTACCTCCCACCGTTAACCCCCATTAACATAAAGCTACAATTACAGAAATGATCTATACTCCAAACTAGTAAAAGCTTTTCGTGAGACAGGCTTCATGTTCCCGCCGTGTGCGCCTTCAGTAATATTTCGTCATCTAATAGTATTCATAGTCGTGAAAGTGAGTGGAAATCATAGGATTTTGCAGCCATTTTTTCTCTTCTTCGACGCCTTCATCCAACCGTATCGCCCTGAACTCTTTCTCGATTCAACCTCCTGATGACTGCGGTCGTTATCTACAACAATCTGGATAGCTTCGTTGAATATCTCTTCGACACCTGTCATTTCTTTGCTGCTACATTCCATGTATCGAGCTCCCATCTTCTTTGCCACACTTAGTCCTTGTTCCTGGGTTACAGGAGTTAAGCCCTGGGTTTTTAGTACGTCAATGCAGGTACGTTTACAGCGAAGATCTGACTTCAGGCCAACTAAAATGAGGGGTGTGTAGGGACAAAAGTGTTGAACCTCTGGATACCACTAATAATTGTCAACTACTTTCAGTCTTGGCATGGGTGGGTAAGTACTTTGTCCATGACGTTCTCCAAGGAGTTTGGACAATCAATCGCAAAACAAACAAACAATAGGTCCGTCTCGGGGTATGAAAGAGGTCGGAGCCGATCATATTCTTCTTGTCCTGCCGTATCCCATAGTGCTAATTCAATCGACTTTCCACTAGCTTGATGGATGGGATATGTAATGTAATTTTCAAAGACTGTGGGTACGTATTTCTGTGATGTTCATGTTAGTAATTCTTTCTTCTTCGCCTAGACTCAGCTGTAGCACCTCGGGAAAGTATCCATGACTGTAACTGATCAAAAGGCAAGTTTTTCCGCATCCACCATCTCCGACTACCACAATTTTTTTGGAGTATGCTGGTCCTTCAGTCGCACGCGTCGTGGCTGACTCTGAAGAGGCACAACTCATCGTTGTGCGCACCGTCCCTTCACTAGATCGTGCACTCTGACCGCAGCCAACTGGTTTTCGGGCGACCTCGTAGATTCTAAATTTTTGTGGCCTTTGACCAAAGTCTTCGTTGTGTGAATATTGACAAGCCATGGTTTCACCGGTACGCCAAGAGGAAGACAGCCAAAATATATTTTCTTCGATACTGCGTGATGTTTAAAGCTTGCTTTGAGATCAATGATTCACGCCGTTCGTCACTCGTCTTTCTGACATTCACATCTGTCAAGTTATGTGGAAGGAAAGGGCGCATCACTGCTAACGGTCAATACCGTTGTCGGGGCAACCCACACCGGAATATTCGGGATATGCCGGGGGCTGTCGGCTCTGCGGGATAAGGGATGCTGCTTGCGGTGATTGCTACGACGTCTGAATCGATGTCGTCGACTCCCAACGGCTGCGCAAACCCAAGGCCATGCTCACCAACAAAAATACACTTAGAGACCAAATCTTCCACCGAAGTTAGTGCTGGATTACGTTCGATTGAGCATTGTAAGAAAACCTTCGCAACAATGATAGCGCATCAACAGAACAAGCTACTTGATCATTCTAAATTCAAATGAAATTTGTTACGATTAGCTCTCAGAGAATACTAGTTTTTTACGCTGATCACCTTTTAATTACAGATAGACAGAAACTTCCACCATGGAGATACCACACAAGGCAAGTAATCTTACCTCTAGTGCGACTAGAGACTCCATATCTCGCCTGGATTCAGAGATCAATGAGGACTCCCGCTCTAGACACGTACTTTGCTACCACCGCCAACCTCGGCACGCACACTTTCTTCATGATTGTCTTGCCCATACTCTTTTGGTGTGGCTACACCTCCCTGGGTAGAAGGTAGGGCCTTCACAGCAGTGCCACTCGATGCAACGACTGATATTGATAGGATGGTCCACATCCTTGCAACGGGAGTGTTCTGTACGGGGTTCTTAAAAGATATGCTCTCCTTACCACGCCCATTAACACCCCCCCTTCACCGCATCACAACGTCTGGATCTGCTGCACTAGAATATGGCTTTCCCTCTACGCATTCTGCAAACGCCGCCTCAGTTGCTGTGCACGTACTATTAATGCTTAACTCGCCCAGCTGCCAATTTCACGAGCCACTTCGGCTCATCTTGAAGGCCGCGGCCTACTCATACGCCTTTTCAATAATCCTTGGTCGCTTGTACTGTGGAATGCATGGATTCCTCGATGTAATCGTCGGTAGTATGATCGGAGTGGTGATATCGTATACCGAGTACGCATATAGCTCCCGAGCTGAAAAGATATTGTACCAAAGTTCATGGCTCGCACCCATCGCTGTAACCCTATTCATCATTTTTCTCATAAGAATTCACCCAGAGCCAGCTGACGACTGCCCATGCTATGACGATACCGTGGCATTTGCTGGTGTTCTGATTGGTGTAGAGGTTGGAGGATGGCATTATGCAAGGGGCGGCTGGGCTTGGGATAATCCTGTTCCAGCTACTGTACCATTTGATTTGCAGCAGATGGGATGGACGGTAGCCGTATTAAGGGTCTTTGTCGGCGTATTTGTGATATTTGCTTGGAGAGAAATCACCAAACCTGCCATGCTCAAGTTTCTCCCGCACATTTTCAGGATCATCGAAACACATGGCTTAATTATTCCCCGGAAATTCTTCAAGCCAGCCTCAGAATACAACATCATACCCTCTAAACTAAAGGTAGACAATGTGATGCCTACTGCACACGACTTTTCGGGCTTTTTCGCTTTCGTCCGCCACCCAAGTCGTGGCCGTTCAGTCGTCATCGGACCTCAGTCAGCCGCTGATGCTTATGAAGCTCTAGCGCGCCTTGAAATTTATTCTCAGGCGTGTAACTGTCATGAAAATTGCACTAAACACCAGACACATCTATCGTACAGCAAAACCAACAGTGTGTCATCGTCCATTTCTCCGCATGGAGAAGGAGAAGATATGATGATGCGTTTTTCCGGAGCTGAATCTTCACCGAAACTTCCCAAATCTTTTTGGCGCTCGTCGCCTAGGCCGCAGGAGGGACTGGAAGATTTGGCAGGTAAGCAAACCGGAGTCGGCAGGCAGGAAATCATGGAGAGCATTCCGCAGCCTCGCGTGCGCTACGACGTCGAAGTCGTCACCAAACTCGTTGTCTATGCAGGTGACTACAATATACGCCTACTCAGTGTGCTCTGCTAACGGCTTTCAGGTATTGCCTGGCTTGCGGTTGAGGGGAATCCCATTATCTTTGAAATGATCGGTTTGGGTCTTGGGTCTGCTCCGAGCCGTGTCAGCTAGGAAGGCACTTTTTCGGCTTAAGTTTTGATTGAATATAACGTCGGGCCATACTTAATCTCGCAGCTCTCTCCCTTTTAGTGGGAAGACCGGATTAAGGCCCGTTTTTGGCGTGAGGCTGGAGTTGAGCTGACTATAGAAGACGGCTGGTCCTCGCATTATTGATAGTTGTAATCTTAATAGCCCGTAGGTCGCTCCGCACTTTGCTGCCTTACCCCTCCATTTCCTCCCACTTCCTCGTCCCCATCACTCTGCTATTGTACCCTGGCCTTATAGTGTGTTAGCAGTTTCCCTTGCGCTGATATGCAAGCTTCAGGTATAGATACACAAGCTCTCGTTTCTCTGAGCACCAACTCCAACCCCGATTGAAGTTTGTGAATGGCTCAACCATTTCCGACGAATGGCAAGTGCATCCAAGGAAAGCCCCACGGCTGGCACAAACCCACAATCTTGATCACTAGTTTTGTAGGCACGACAAAAGTTCTTGGAGTGTGTGATAAGGATGAGGAGCTTGGGACGTGTAGTGCATTTAATCTAGCAAGTCTATATGCCCAACCCGACTGATTCAGAGAGTGAGCATTTATATTTTGATCACATTGAGATTATATTTTAGCTAGTTTCCTCGGCATGGATTATCTTCTATAAAACGGTTTCCACCTCCATTTGCGCAGGCATGCTCTACACGTCTAGAGACCGAATTTTGAAGAGCTGATCAGCCTCGGGTGATAGTCATTTCTGGACATTTGTAGGAAGAAGTGATCTAGGACACTTCTGTGATTTTGTCTTTGCTTGACGTTGGTTTCTCATCTGCAGGCGCTTCATCTTTTTCGTCTTCAAGTTCCGGCATGTCAGCATCTTCAGCCTCGTCATCTTCGTCACCTCCGAGACCAGAGAGATCCATATTCGAAAGATCGCCACCGCCCATGAGGGAACTCATATCACCCATTCCAGGCATGCCACCCATGCCACCCATGCCACCCATACCACCCATACCTCCCATGCCACCCATACCGCCCATGTCATCAAATCCTTCACCTGTCATGGGAATTAGTCGTGAACAGAACTTGAATTACTCATTGACAGACCTAAATCGGCTGAGGCTTCCTCTTGTGAATCCTCATCGACCCACTTGTCAAAGTCGGTCTTAATGGATGCGTTTTTTTTGGAGTCTTTGGTTAATCGTGGCCAATATTCTTGTGCAACTTTTTTCTTTCGTAGGGTCAACTGAACACTCCTCGAGGTGTGCAGAGTCTTGGTATGATCTGTGTCGATTTCTTCGTATAGTTCAATCTGAAATTTATAATTGATCTTGGTCTTTGGGTTCTCGCCAGTGAAAGAGATGCTTTGTGTATTAATTTCCATCTTCATGGACTCTTTTGGCACATCTGTAGCGACTATGGTGAGATATAATAAGTTCTTTTCCGGATCTGATACATGGGACCTTTGGGCCCAGCAGACTATAGTTCACGTGTTAGCTCGGAAAAAAATTCTGGGTTTAGAATGAGGAGATATCCAAATCTCGCGTGGGGCTTTGGGTGTAATAATGTCGTGAGGAAATCCTTACTTTCGGGATGCTGAGTAGTGGACATGATGAGATAAATCGAAATAGCTTGAGATTGGTGGGAAAATATATCCTATGTTGAAAGGTAGATGTTGAGGTTATCCACAACAAGTTGAATGTATCGCTTAAACATAAGAGTTCTGCATTAATGACCAAGGATCCTGGCAATTCGTGGAATCCGAAAGAATCGAAATCAGAGACCAACCAAAACGGCTATAGCTAGCCCTTCCTTGCCGCGCGCGCGCCACTGGATTACAATCTGGTGCGCGCTCGTCGGTCGAGAGGGCGCGATTAACGTTCTCAGCGCCTCACATAGCGCGCATGCTCTGAAGTCTGTGCGATCACAATGGAAGCTGAGGCATCGGACGAAAGCATGTGTTGGGCAATACCCGATAAAATATTCGCCGTCACGAATATCGTGTCTATCACCATTTATCCTACAAATGACTCAAGCTTCGCCTCTTCTTGACCACAAGCTCAAGTATTGATCCCCACAAGACGTTTGATTCCATAGACGGACTCCTAAGATGAGCAGATGCAAGCGAGCCGAGGTGGAATGCATAGCGACCCTGACAATCAACCATGGCAAGCAGATGAGACGAAAGGAAAGTATCTAGACTAGCAGAACTCATCTGGACCGTTTATTAGCGCACCGGAGTAAGGCTTCGTCATTTGGGTTGTATAATTCTAGTGATAAATATTCGCCAACCCGAGACTTCCGACATTTCCTCCCTTCCGATCCACCCCCATACAATACAAGCCAATATTCCCATCATTCCTCAAGCAACTGAAACCCGCCTTATTAAGTTACTTATAGAGTGCAAGTATTGTTAGCGGCTGAACATACTAGTTTATCTAAAATGGCCGACACTAGAATTTAGCGATCCATTGTGGAGAAGGCAATCGAGGGGCAGATATGATATTCAATTCGTGCGTCATCCGAAATTGGATTGTCTGGGGCTGGTAGGCTGGCCATATGGTCAACGTACATGCAATTGTCAATGATACACGCATTTTCGCATCGGTTCTTGCTTGAGCACGATATGCAAGGTCAAATATCAAAGTTTCTGAATCCAATTGCCTCACTTTCAGTTTTCTAGCTTTAGTATGCTATCGGCATGTTGCCTACCATGCCATCACTGAAAAACTCATTCCTTCGAGATTTGCTGTCCATAGCATCGAGCTCATTGAAACTCCTCATGCTGCAACATACATGATAAAGTAATTTTGCAAGAGACCACGCATAGCCCTAATACCCTCGGTTATTAAAGTTTTACGCCTCCTCTGTTATTGGTGGACTACAACCAGATTTGGAGACTCAGTCAAAAAAACTGTGAATTGCCTGTACAGCCATCGTCGTTCCACATTATAATTATTTGACTCAAATTTGGTGAGAGGGAAATATCCTGCACGCGTCAAGGGAATGTATCTACGAACCGAGTTGACAAACTACTCAGTATATTTGTCCTAATATTCGCAGTCGTTTGCAGTCTCTGGGCCAACACGCGATCCGACCAAACATGCCGGAGATATGGGATGCTCTTCGGTGTTTTAATTCTATGCGCACAACACGAACGTCATCTTTTGAAGGCAAGGGCTGAGCACCCATTCTCATTGTCCACAATAAACCTCGGGATGGAGTATTCTCTCAAAGCCGAGCTCAGTCAAAATCGGTTCTCTGTCTTAGAAAAAAAAGAATCTATAGCAAGCATAAAAAATATGCTCATTATATCCAGTCTCTTTCAAGTTGATTCCATGAGTCCCTCATTAATAGACTCAGATAGGACAGTAATATAAATCTAATCAGTCTGCACGTATGATATCAAAGTGGGCCTATGAGGCAATGATTCGAGATTCTCCCCTATATCAATATCTCACTCCCAACTAGATTGACTCCTGCCTAAGCCTCATCAAATCTGCTAATGCGATCGACTACATCTTCTTTTTAATGACCGTACTTTTCATCGACTACTCTTTGGCCTTATTCGGCCACTAATTATATGTCTGTTTGACAGCTAGTAGGGCGATAGAGTGCCTGCAGCCTGAGCTATTAAGCACAGGAATATTGACAACTCCAGCGCTTAGTCTCGCTGGTGATCAAGATTCGGCACTACTCGTGCATGAGGCATTATTTATCACTAACTCACTGTCATTGTTATGGATCAATTGATCATTGTAAATATTTGTGTGTTCTGATCGATCACAATTGAACCAGTTCAATAATGATATGGCTCGTGGCTTTACTACAGCTCATTCCGCAGAATTTCATTGTCAAGCTTGAGTCCTAAAATTATGTCTATCCCAACTATCAACTCCGAAATCAATGTTGTCTGCGTAACTTACTGATTGCAAGATAGCCGCATTTCGTGGTATAAATTACTATTGGAGATAGAATGGCTCGGAAGTTGTATTCTATTAGATTATTACTACATGTTCTGGCTAGACACATTCCAACTATGTTTAGTAAACCCAGATTACTAAGCAATTCCCTTTCACGCTAAGATTGAAGACTGATTCTTCGACAATTACCTTACATAGCCTGCGACATTTATGATCTTCAATTATCTAATTGATTATGTTTGGAGTACTGGTGAGTCTGCTTTGGTAAACAGCACGGATATGATTACTAAGTCTCAATTTGGTTTATCAGCGTTCGTTTTATTTATTGTCCTGAAGAGTAAATAACAATGTAAGGACGTGTAGGTCCTTTCTTCCTATAGGCTTGGGGTACCTATGCCTCAGGTAGTGTACTCCATCCTATGCCTCATTCACGTCTTCTTTCCGGCAGTAATACCTCCACAGGTCTTCATTCGAGTACACACTAAGAGGAGCCGTTATCCCGTCATTATCTCCCCTCTCCAGCCAACTAAACGATAGCCATTGGCGGGTGTGTAGCTGCAGGCAAAAGTCTCAAAAACCACTGGGTGCGGGGCTCTCCCATGACGAAGAGGCCGGACGCAGCAGACCTGTGTATACCCAAGAGCGTCTCTCAACATTCCTAACCTCCTCCTTACTTCTCCCTTGATTCATGCCGCAGGACAAACCAAATGTTATGAAAGGATGTCAGAAAAGTCTTGGTCGATAGTGACAGCCGTGAAGGAGCCTAGCCTAGCCTCCAAAAGTCGTTACGGACGTGGGGTCGTCGAGTAACTCATGTATTTCAGATAACCTCCTGACTCTTAGACTCGGAAGTATAGATAAGAATTGACAATATAATTGACGAGTCGAAATCTGCTTTTCTTGAGGGCAGAAGGGTCTTTTACTTTGGTTTCATGGGGTTTTTGTTCGCCGGCCGTTGGGTAGCTCATGTTACGATATAATGAGGGCTTCTTTATTTACAGTTATAGCGTTTGGTACCGCATTATCTTTTCTCATTCCCGGCATCATTATCGTCGTCCTGGTTGCCTTGTGAGTTATCGGAAGCGTATCTTTCATGGAGGGGGGGATAATTCAGCTCGAAGTTGAAAAGGTGATGCTCAATCTCGGCTCTGCTGACTCTACAGTGAGAGCTGGAGGTTCGCAGGGGACACCACTGACAGGTGTTGAGAATAGTCCCCCTACCTCAATGTTGTCTTTCCGCATCAAATTCAGAGTATGAGTACCTCTGGCGTCAAAAAGTCATCTGACATATTTAGATAATATCGATTATGTACCATAGCTAGATAGCTGAATACAAACTAATTAATTTAAAAAGAATCAAAAATAAACTACTCAACGAACGACTCCATTTAAAAATAGAGCACTCATGCCTCGGAATTCATTTGCAAGTACCTCTGCGAAGCTACGGCGGCTTTTCACTTACTCAAAGTAAGCCCTCATCCGTGAATGGTCAGTGAAACTATTTTCTCATGAATCCTAGGTTATCCGGACATAACTGCATCATCCATTGACTTGTTTCCGCGCGAAAATTGGTCAGAGGTATCTCCTCCCAAAGTGGAATATGTGTCCTTATTCTCCAGAATCTAATTGAGAGACCAGCAAAGACAATGCATAACAGCACCATCTAACCATGGCGATGTTTATAGTGCCGCCTGCACTCTCTCAATCGAAGTCGTATGGCGCACAATGCTGGATATGTAAAAATTCTTTCAAAATTCATACCTGTCGAGTAGTATGCATCCTTTGCATCATCTTGTGCACTTAGTCTAATTTATCTCGCGTCCACCCTAAGTAAGCGTCCCCTATATTTGTGCGCCTCGAAATTTGTTCTCCTGCGGCTATTCGTATTGTCATAAACGCATAATTGGAGGGCATTAAGGGCCAAAGACTGAGTTGCCGAGAGGTGTGATTATTGAAATGAGCATTTGCTAAGTAGTGCTTGTTTAATTTATGAGGTTTAGTAGAGAGCCTTGGATCACTACTTCGAGGGCCAACTTCTTAGGTACTGCGTAATTTGACTGAAATCGGCTCTGGGAGAATATTCCACTTTAATGTTCGTAGAAAACACGATGGTCAAGGGTTCATTCTTCTCCAACACGAATAATGAAAATGTACGAGGGGGCACAAGAGTGAATAATGGGTCACTTTTTCTACGAATCAATCACATCACTATAATATCTAATCCTGTCGATTGGCCTTAATTTACGTATACGTAAGGTCAGTTCCATGCAAAACGAAAGGTACAAAAGTGAGGTATTTAATAAGTTTTCTATTAAAGGGGGACTATCCTCAATATCTATCAGTGGTGTCCCCTACGAACCTCCAGCTCTCACTGTAGACTCTGCAGAGCCGAGATTGAGTAACAAATTCCTCAGTCAGATGAGGATTCCTAATTGCTCTCGCGGTCTGTATCGTCTTTATCTCTCAACACATCCCCTAACAACATTATCGTGCAGCTAACCACGATCAGATCAGATGGTAGGGTCGGAGCCCTTCTCATCACCAACCCTTGATGATGGAAAAGCCATCCGATGAGTTTCCGGAGCGTACCCAGCTCCCGATACGGGGATGGCGGATTGGATCAAGTCGGCCTCAAATGTTACAAAGAAGGGAGACATAGATGAATAAGCGCACCTCATGTGGTCCCGG